CTTTAGTCTTTATTTTTCCCAAGTAATATGTTCATAGCCAGTAAATACGACTATATGCACCAGAGAAACCAGAGCCAAATATTTTGGGACAGCAATACGTGATTCCACTGATCAAGATTTTCCTTGGGAATAAGAGCAGCATGTGAATGCGGAAAGAAAAAAAGCATGAGCATGGCTTCCTGTACAACTCATACAGAATTATTTCTGTATGCATTCCTGTGAACACTTGAAAAGTGGTCTTTTCCCAGTTCCAATTAAAGCTGCAATGAAAGCCAAAGGGTCCAGTAACAGCTGTTAATGCTTGTGTCAAGGAAACTATATTGGTAAGAAAATTTTACTCCCATTACGGCCAGTACAAAACCTGCTTTTTATCTATGCATGAATGTGGTCAACACACAGAAGTGTGCAATGAGAAATCAAACTTTTTAAAGGATCAGGAGGATTCAAACACAACAGTTTGTAAAGGCCTGACAAAGGTTCATGCTCCAGACAATATCTCCATAATTCTTATTGCTAATATATAGTATATTTCATCATGCATTGGCAGCATAACAGATCTTCTGAAAAAAGAGAAGAACAATGTAAGAGAAATGAAAAACAAAAATACTCTTGGCTTCAAGCCGTCTTACAAACTCCACTTTTCAGCCCATGGAAGCAGAGGAAAAAACTACTGAAGAACCACCAAGGCAGCTCAAGCTTCACCATATGCACATGCAAGGGTGGCTCACCTCTGAATTTCAGGGGAAGATATGTTCCTCTACTCCAGTTAAGAAGTCACTGATGCTACATGGCAAGGGGCACTGCTGAAGTCTGTGTCCTTCCCTGGGAATTATTAATTATTCCCTACAGAAGTCACTTATATCTCTTGCATTTCAATTAACACATTTGTTATAGTAGATGATTTTCATATGTTACCAGCTGATATTGACCCATATTATGGAGCTGCTTTGTTTCATTACACCAGGAGAATGGTGGCACAGAAATAAAATAAACAAAATAAAGAATAAAATATACTATTAAGACTGCAGACTAGGTAGAACAGCTTGCTGGTTGGAAGGGAAGGATTTACAAATAATGGGACTAATGCAAGTTCTGTATGCTGTTACGGTTTTTGTTAGTCACTTTAGAGTCTAATACAGTATATTACTTTGTATTCATCCATTGTGTTTTGTAGATGGGTATTCATTAGAGTTAGACATATTGACTGAGGCTTGTCTCAACTTACAGTAGTAATTTTTTAGCTTTCTAACAACCTAAACTCAATGCTCAGTGTCACTCTCCCTTACTAAACAGAGCATTCTGAATACAAAGATGCTTAGTAAAGAAGAATAGTATAGATGTCCTTTTAAGGCATGGAGAAATGCTGGTTGGCTTTTTTTAAAGGATGCCAAGATCACTAGGACACACGCTCACAAGCTTCCATTCACACTAGAAGGAGGTCTGTAGAACATACTCTCTAGTCCTTATCCTATTCTGAACAATGAGACAGAGACTAACATGAAGATTATAGAAAGCTAAGGCTGGGAGTTACAGTGGGGTCTTGACTTGAGAACCTAATCCGCTTGCTGGTTGGAAGGGAAGGATTTACAAAAAAATGGGACTAATGCAAGTTCTGTATGTTGTTACGATTTTTAATTTGTTAGTCACTTTAGAGTCTAACACAGTATATTACTTTGTATTCATCCATTGTGTTTTGTAGATGGGTATTCATTAGAGTTAGACATATTGACTGAGGCTTGTCTCAACTTACAGTAGTAATTTCTTCGCTTTCTAACAACCTAAACTCAATGCTCAATGTCACTCTCCCTTACTAAACAGAGCATTCTGAATACAAAGATGCTTAGTAAAGAAGAATAGTATAGATGTCCTTTTAAGGCATGGAGAAATGCTGGTTGGCTTTTTTTAAAGGATGCCAAGATCACTAGGACACACGCTCACAAGCTTCCATTCACACTAGAAGGAGGTCTATAGAACATACTCTCTAGTCCTTATCGTATTCTGGACAATGAGACAGAGACTAACATGAAGATGACAGAAAGCTAAGGCTGGGAGTTAACTTCAAAAATGCCTATAGGAGGGAGAAATCAAACTCGCTCAAGATTTAATTTCCCCACTCTGATTCTCCAAAGGATGTAAATAATGGTTAGTATAAGGAAGAAGCATTTTTCCCTTCTGATGTGGGAAGTTGCATAATAAACTTCCAACGTATTATTTGTTTGGTATTTTACTTGATCCTCTTACAATGACTACAGTGAAAGACTACAGTGAAACAATCATAAATGATAGTTCACTGCCCACTGCTTCAGAAAAGCATGGCTGATTTGTTAAATACGCACAAGTCTAATGCAACAATAGCTTAGTGAGACCATCAAGGAACAGAGTTGCCTCAGCATCAACAACATTACCAGTCAAACATCCCTACTGATGACTGTACTTCCATGAATAGTTATATAGTCCTATTAACTGTTCTTAAAATCTGTGGTAGCATGAAATAATCTACTAAAAAAAGCAGGAAGACTGAGGACCCTAGTATAGATTCTGCAGTAACAATGCTACAACACTGTTGGCACTGCAGTATCTCCAGAAAGTGTCTCCGATTAAGACCAAACATAAACTGAGACAAGCCTCTTGTTCTTGGTAAAATGGAATCTAGAGAATGGTGCTAGAACAGTATTTAGACTATTCTGATTGGGCAAGGAACCAATGAGACTAGTTACACCAATTCATAGCTGTGTCCTAGACATCATCACTAGGACAAAATTGGTTGTCCAGACTGTATCTGTAAAAAAACATTACATTCATTTTAATAATAACCACCACAAGTAGGATTTGCAGTTATCCACTCCTTACTATTTAAACTTCTCATGCTAAAGTGTTTTTTTAAATGGCCTGGTACATATACAGAAAAACAACAAACAACTTTTAATATTCCTCATGATAGCTTATGTCTAACTACATATCCGAAAGGAGTAATAAGGTACTTGGTTTGTTTTTCACAGTGAACACTCTTCTGTCATTGTTGTTGTTGATTCAGAATAATCACAGTTTTCATTCTTAATTCTTACAAGTTAAACTATTCATGGATTTCACACCCACCTTTCAACACTGTTATAGCGCTTGCACCTAGCAAATAAGCAATTAAAACATGCCACAGAAGAAGTGTTTGTTATGACATTTTCAAATCAAAAAGTGTGTTGCTGGATTTGCCTCCATCTGTGCCAATATAAACATATTCTACATCTCCCCAGTGATTACTATGGATCAAAGATAAGGAAAGGGGGTAGAAAGAGGTCAGCTCAGATCATTAGGATCGTGATAATACAAAATGTGGAGGAGGGGCACAGTGTTACAGAATATAAACATTTTGGAAAACGTAACTGATGGAAAAAGAAACACTCTGTAAGAGTGGCAGCCATATTCACATCTGTAGTGCTTACACTTCAGGGGGGAAAGTAGTGGTAAGAAAGCCTATCCAATCACTTTACACTTCCTGATATAGAATGAAACTATAAACAAGCCCCAAACACTCTCTTTGCTACCACACTTATCACAACAACTGTAATGTGACAAATTTACAGAAATTATGCCTAGCCTACAATAGAAGAACTGCTAATTCATCAAGTTTTGCTCATCTTAACACAACAGCAGGAAAGCTTTCTTAACAGTTCCAAGAAAATCCACATACACTACTATGTCAGTAATGTGTTACGTATTTGTTTTGTGCACAGAATGCTTTGTAAACATGATCTAATTAATCCCCATAGCAACCCTCTGAGGCATTATTCTGCATATATTTTACACACAGGAAAACTTCCCCAGGGCCACTAAACCTGTCACAGGCTCTTTCAGGATTAGACTAGAGAGGTCTCCAATTTCAGCTCCCATATTCTAAATGTAAGATCAAGCCTTTTTCTCATATATACACCTTTGAGCAGGCACACAGACAGGATTCCTTTCTTTCAATCTGCAGTTTTCTGAAGCTTAGAGAGTATATGATAGTAAAGCATTCACAAAGATCCTTCCCAAACTCAAAAACAAAAAGTAAATTTAAAAAAAAAATTCATAGAAGGAAACACCATCAGCAGTAATAATGCCTTGCCTGGGCATGTTTACCATCTGTAAAGATGGTACTGTACTGTGCTGCAGAGCTGTTTTGTTATACACTATCTTGCTTCCAAAGGAACTGTTCAATCACAAAACCAAATCAGACACAAAGAAACCTATTTAACTTTCCACTATCTGGACTTCAAGCGACTGCAACATTTTGCAGTTTCCCCCCCTTCATGCAACAGTCTCTCTTTCCAAGATAAAATGCCAGTGAAAGGGATACTAAACAGAAAAACATGAAGCCAAACACAGAAATGTTGTTATTACACAGGTATTTTCTCTGCCATTAACGGGCTTCAAAAGCAATCACAGCCTGTAATTTTATTTTATGCTGCATCTACCAATGGCAATTTCTGTCTCCACCATTAACAACCCTCTCACAGCACTTTCCTCAACCTTGTGATTATATCTAAAAACAACAACACCACAATCCTAAACCTACTTAACTAGAATTAACATACGCATCAACCCCCATTTAAAAGGCAACACAAAACCCTTATTCTAGGCCTAATCCAACCAATAAGGTAAGAATCCACCAGCACCCTTGAAAAAAAGGTAGTGGTGAGCAGGAGTGAGAACAGAAAGGGAGCTACTGGAATATATAAATACCGTATTTTTTGCACCATAAGACGCACTTTTAATCTCCCAAAACGTGCCTGGGAAAGTCTCTGCGTCTTATGGAGCGAAAAATACGGTAACTGAACAGAACAAAATTATTATATAATCCATAGTAAAATCTTACCTAACTGTACATCGAGATCCTATTTGAAAGCAATTGCAGAGAAATTATGAAAATCAAGCTTTGCAATGATACAAAACAGTTTCCTATCATCTTTGCTAACAGTCACCGGACTCCTGTAGGGAAAAAATATCTTAATTTAGAGCATACTCACCTTGCCTCTGGCTCCTGTCCAGCTACTGGATGTCCTCCGACTTGTGGAAGCTAATGCTGGCATATGCACTTAATTCATCACTCAAATGGCTACTCCCACAATTCTGATTTGGAGATTTAGGTGGCTGATGCTGCTGTGTTGCAGACTGCTTGACCCCGAGCAGAGAAGTACTCTCCTGAGGATGAAGGCGGTGGTGATGTTGGCGGTGATTAAGATCCTTCACCAAGTCCAGGTCGATGTAATTGAGCCCATTTTCAACACCTCCCCCAGCCTGCTCTTTCCTGACACCATGGCTGGAGGTGGCCCCCACCTCCCCAGATGCAGGCTTCAGCCAAACGTTTTCAAAAGAGGCTGAGCTGTGGCGCTTTGCATCCTCAGGAGCCCCTCCTGGTCCATGGGGTACAGCTGAGGCTCCAAGGCCGCCGCTTGGGGTGGTTGAGGAAGAAAATGTTTCAGAACTATGACGACGTCGGCCTCCCTGTGGGTCAGCTCGGATCACTTTGGCACTCTGGGTGCTATGGCTAGGGCTGAGGCTGATGTGGGTAAAAGCGCTGCTCATCCCTGGGCCCCCAATCATGGAAGAAGAGCAGGAGTGGGGTAAGACTGCGGCCAGTTCACCCAGCTGAGGCTGAGGGTGGGCGGAAGGCAGCCCCATAGGTGGTGGGCTTTTCTCTTGTCTCCCACGTCCCATCCTCAAGTCACCATAGCTGAGCAGGACGGCTGGAGGGGAAGGAGAGGGAGTGTGGCCACAGACAACATACTGCCCCTCACTGCCCAGCTGCATGCTCATGTAGTCTCTGCCACCGGTGGGGGCAATCCTGCCCCGGCTCTGCTGCATCGATGCCAAACTAGCCGGGCAGACAGCCCTCCAATCCATATTCATATACTCCTCTGAACCAGAGCCAACATCTCCATGTGGCAATGGGGAAGTTGGTTGCCTAAATTCAATGTTCACGTACTCACCAGGGCTTTTAGGCTCGGGGAGCTGTTCCCGAGCACGAGGCAAGGTGCTGGCTTTTGGGCCACCCAAAGACAGACGGGTCGGTCTGGCCAGATGGCTCTTAGTCCTCACAGATGTGTCCACAGAAGAGGGAGCGGGCTGCAACGGCTGTGTTTGGGTGGGAACTGGATACCCGCTACCCTCTTGTACCCCTGGTCCGCCCAGGCTATCACTGCTAGTAGAGGAAGAAGAGTCCTCGGCGGCAGCATACAGTAAACGGCCAGAGCTGAAGGACATGCGCATCTGGGCATTTCCCTCCTCCCCCCTCCTGCGGTGCATGTGTTTGAAGGAACGGGGCAGGGAAAAATAGGAGTAGATGGGCTTGTGGTATGACTGGCTGGGACCCTGCACAGATGTCTCTTCCGGGCCTGGGGGTCCTGAGCTGGTGAAATAGCAATCTGGAGGGGTGCTGGTAGCAGAACCACTGGCTGGAGACATGTTGATGTAATCACTGCCACCACTTGGCAGCTTCCCCTCATTGCTCTCCACTGAGAGTTTGGGATGATGATTAGCACCATTCATCCATAGCTTGCTGTACCCAGTGGGACCGCTGTCTGGAGAGCAACTGCCACTTGGAGACATCATCATGTAGCCGTTGGAGTCGACCATGGCTTGCACGTGCCGCCCTCCTCTCCCAGGGTTGATGATCTGCTGTGGGGCAGACACACTCTTAGGACTCATGGGCATATAATCCCCACCTTTAGGAGTACTGCCACCACTGGGGACAGGTGCCACTCCTGGCAACATTGGCATATAGCCATCATCCATGTGTGGGGTAGAGTTGGACCGGTGGTGGTTGCCCTCTGCCCGCTGCATCTCTAGACATTCCTCAGGGTATGAATGTGTTGGCACAAAAGCAGAATGTCGATAAGAAGAGAGCCTGCCACCACCACCACCACCACCACCACCACCACCGGAATACGAGGGGAGCATTTCGGTATACTCTTCAATGGAAGCCACTGAGGACTGCGAGGGAGTCTTCTGGTGGGAGATGGTAGGGGAGGTACCTGCTGAATGTGTCCGCTTCCTGAAGCCTTTCTCCAGATCACCCAGATCCTCACTACCAAGCCGGGAGCAGCACGAGGCACCAGGATAGCGGTTTTGCTGCTGAGGATGGCAAGCGCGGGGAGTGAAATGACCATTAGGAGCTGTGATACTGCAGCAGGACGAGGCTGTCTTGCCTCCCATACATATGTAGTTGCTGAGTTCCTCTTCCCCCCGGGCTGGTGGGGTGTGTCCCAGGGAATCAGGGGTAACACTGCGAAAGGAGTTGCGGAAGTCGCAGGGGCTAGATCCATATTCATCAGAGGAGATGAAGCCCCCATCACTTGGAGAGCCAGAGACTGAAGCACTGGAGCGACGTGGAAAGAGGCAGTCAGAGGTGGAGCCATGCCCACTGGTACTACTGGATGACAGGCTGACAGGGCTTGTAGCAGATGGAGAACAGCGGGAGGAAGGCATTGGGATGGAGCGGCTATGGTTGAGAGGAGGATGAAGCCTGGAACTGCCACGATGCCGGTGCAAATGGGTCCGGCTGGCACTTGGACTCACTGGACTGCCATCCACTGAAGCTGGCCTGGACATGGTTCCTTCTCCATCACTGGAGGCTCTGACCCGGAAAGAACTGGGCTTGCCCCCTGTCCCTCCTCCACCTCCCACTCCACTACCAGCAGGCGATGTGGCAGTCACGCTTTCAGTCCTGGACCTACGGCTGAGCCCCACCTGACTGGGTGGTGGGTTGTTAATGTGATGCCTGCTGCGGAGAGGCACAGATATGGGATTGGAGCAGTTGGAAGAAGACTGGCTTTTGCTCCGGGGCCGAAACTCCTCACTCATGGCCCGCATGGCCTCCAAAATAGTCTCATGCATATTCTGTGCTACTACTGAGTCATCTACCTGCATCCAGAACTCACCTGGCCCAGTGACTGCAGAGCGCCCCACCTCAATGAAGAAGAAGTTCTCTGAGTGGCCACATCGCCGGATGTTGAGCAGCTGCAACACGACAGCCGCTGCATCGGAGTTCAGCTTGACAAAACTGATGGTCTTGTTGGTTAGGCACAGGCGGTATATGCCAATCAGGTTCTTAGTCTGGCCCAGACCCTTGGGTTTCAGGATCACTTGCCAAACTTCTTTGAATGCTGGACCAGGAGCCACGTCTCCATAGTTATCCTCCCCTGCCTCTCCCATTCCAAGACTCCCACCTCCCACCATGACATCCCCATGGTGGTGGTGGTGGTGGTGGTGCTGATGGTGATGACTCTTGGCCCGGTTGTGCAGCTGTAGCAGCGCCTGGTACCAGCTCTCTTGCTCAGGCTCACTGTCAGCAGCGACAGCAAAGTGCTCATCCTTGGTATAGAGAGCCACCAGATGCTTATTTTTGGAGTCTGCCCTCTTGTTGATGTTGAAGCAGCTCTCCAGCGGGATAGAGCGTTTGGGGGCTCCCGACTTGTGTCTCCATTTCTTTTCATTCTCGTAGTACTCCAGCCGGGCGGGCCCCGACTCGCTGGCTGCCCTCAGCACGAAGAAGCGCTTATGCATGCTCTTGGGTTTGCGCAAGTAACCCACCTTCCTGACATCCGAGAAGAAGCCCTCGTTATGATCCGTGGGGCTCGCCATGCTGGAAAAAAGAGAGGCGTTGATGCAGCTCCTCTTTTGCAGAGGGGCGGCAGCTTCCAAATCAGCAGAACGGAGCAGCAAAACAAATGGAGCAAAAAGAACCAACGTAGCAGTCCACAATATAATTCATGCAGCAGCAACCAAAAACAAACAACCCAACCCCCCCAAAAAAAATAAATTAAGTTAAAGACAACCCCTTAAAACAGCTCTGGGTTCCTTTTCCAAAATGGGAAAGGAGAAGGGGGGAAAGCGGCAGGCAGAGAACAGCTGTTCAGCCACCAGAGCTTTCTTCCAGCTACAGAAGCAAGAGTTTGGGTCGCTGTTTTATTTCCAAATCACCCTCGGTAGGAGAAACGTGGCTTTCAAAAGTCCAGTACCCATGAAGCCCCAGGAAAGCCTGGTAGGAGCAGCAGCCGCTGGGCAGCAGAAGGGCATCATTTCATCCATACGGGGTGGAAATTCCTCTCGCGAGGGGAGCAGGATGGGGTTCCCCCGCCGCTGCTCTCCAAAACGGATCGCCACCTCCCCTTCTCACGTTACCCCTCCAGCAAGGAGCCAATTTCAGACGCCGACGAAATTATCCTCTTGGGAGGGAGGCACGCAGCGGGTGGGTCGGTGAGAGGGGAGGATTTATTTTGCAGGGGGAAAAAAACCAGAAGAAGTCTTCGCCGATCGCAGGCCACCCTTTCGGAACATCACAAGAACGACAACAATAATAACCCCATGGTGGGGAGGATGATGATGATGATGATGATGAGAAAGCCAGTCCGCTCGCGCGACACAAACTACTTTTGTTTTCTTCCCCGCCAAATATATATATAAAAAAGTCAATGCAAAGATCCTTGGCGTGGGGATGGCGGGCTGCAGGGAGAACCCGAACCCAAACACGCACGCACGCACGCACACGCCAACCAGGAGATTCCCCCAAATGAGCCGCGCGGGGGCTGCCGCTCGTGCCAGGCGGAGACTCCTTCGGCGACCCCCGTCAGTCCCGTCTGGTTAAGGAGAGGGCAGGGGCCTCTTTTCCACAGCGGCGAAGGGAAGCGGGCGGCCGCCGAGGCGAGAGCAGGGCGAGCGAGGGGAAGCGGCTGCCCGAGGGGAGGCGGACGGAGAAGAGGCACATCCTCGCGGCGACGACGACGGCGGCGGCGGCGGCTTCCACCTTCTTCGCCTCTTCTTCATTCCACTCGCCAAAGTCCGGGAGGGCAGCAGCGGCGCCGGCGGCGGCAGGAGCGCCCCTTCCTCCTGCACCGCCCACCCCTACGCCGCCTCCTCGGGCACCCCAGAATGAAGACGCCGCGAGTGGGACCCGGGAGGCGCGGGCGACCGAGGGGAGCCTCCTCGTCGAGCGGCGGCTGCTGGTAGTAGTGGCGCCGCTGGTGGTGTTGCAGGAGCTGCAGCGCCACAGACTTTTATCTTTTTTTTTCCCTCCCGCTCTCGCTCGTTCTCCTTCTCCTCCTCCTCCTCCCTTCTTCCCGCCCGTGAAAAGCCCCGAACCAAAACAAACGGCTCTGTCTGTGTTTATGAGACCAGCCCCCTCCTCCTCCTCCTCCTCCAACAGCAGCAGCAGCAGCAACAAGAGCCGCCGCCGCCACTTCGTCTCACTCCAAGGAGAAAAACACGTGACGGCGCCACTGCGTGGACCATCCCCATCTCCAGCCCCAGCAGCAGCGGCGGCGACAGAGAGAGAGAGAGAGAGAGGAGGAGAGAAACGCTCTCCAGCACCCTAACTTAGTAGTGCGGCATTCCAACCCGCCCTTCCCTCGCCCGTCTGCCGCCGCTTTCATTCAGCACCGAAGCGAGCGCGTTTACCTTTGGGCGCCCGTCCCTTCGCAGCCTCGGGGGGGTCGCCCTCCGATTGGAGCACCTGCCTGTCCTTCAAAACCATCTAAGGTCTAGGGAAAGCCAGACGGGGAGGCACCCAGGTTTGGTTGAGGAGCACGGCGTAGTATTTCTCTCTCCCCCCCCCCCGCGCCGCCTTTTTTTTTCTTCCCCTCTCTCTTTTTTTTAATGAGAAAGAGGGAGGGAAAGAGTAGACGCCATTCAGTGGCATGTTATTTATAAACCGAGCGGGTTGTGAATCTCTCTCGCTCTCTACTGTGCGGTTGCTGTGATTTGAGCAAAAGGCCGCTGCTGTGCTTTTTAATAGTTCGTATTATTTAGTCGTATTATACATATAAAAACAAGCTCTTCCTTCTTTATGGGCACCAGGGTGGTGGGGCAAGATTTCATGCAAGCCAAAATAAAAGCCAATGAAAACAAAACCACCGAGTAAAACGAATTTCACAATAGACCTGCTAATAGCCTATCCTATTGCCCTTTGGAAGAAAGAAAAATCATGCTGACTTCGGTCTCAAACCTCTTTCTCAACACATTGTGAAGAACCACAAGCTTGAGAGCAGGCTTACCTCTGAGCAAACCCCCAATGAAATCTGTGAGAATTGAGGGGAAATGTTCACAACATAGGGCCCTGAAGTGGGAAACAAGAAATAAGGAACAAGCAGTGTGCCTTATTTAAAAGGTCAATAGCATGTACTGTATATCTCTGGAAAAGGCAATGATCCTGGGAAAGGTGGAAGGCATCAGGAAAAGAGGAAGACCAAATATAAGATGGACTGACTCCCTAAAGCAGGGTCCCCTCATGTTCTTGGACATGAGGACTCCCAGAAATCCTGGCCAGCACAGCTAATGGTGAAGGCTTCTGGGAGTGTTAGTCCAGGAACATCTGGGGATTCAAGGTTTGGAACCAGTGCCCTACCTAAAGGAAGCCAGAGGCCTTTCAAAAGTTGAGCAGGGCAAGTGAGAGGACATTTTGGATATTGATCATTTATAGCATCATCTACTCTCTCTCTCTCTGGAAGTTTCAACATGCTGCAGACTTTCAGACTTTCAAGGTTATTCAGATATATGGTAATCAGACATAAACAAAGTAAAAGAAACTGGAAGCTGTTTGTACAACTATTCGTACTGTGTTGTTGATCTCCAGGGATCCTCTGAAATCAAAGGTGTATCTGATCCTTAGACTGACATTGTTTTGCTAGATTCATTATAAATTCATTTGACTTTCTATATTAAATATGTAATAGCTGAAATACGGTAGTCAGTCACAACTAGAGTAGGCCCATTGAATCAATGGAGACTTGGTGATTCAACTTCCATTAAGTTCCACTGCTTCCATTACTGTACACTACTTGCAACTTACTATTTGATTTCAGCCAGCAATTTTAATCTTATTTTTTTTGGGATAGAATATCAGATGAGAATAACAATGTTAGAGGAATTATTCCCCTCTCCTATTGTCATGCATATACACCTACATTACATATAATTTGTAGCCTGTAACATTTCACCAAAATATTTTTTTTATACCAGTATAAATGCCATGAACTGGATACAAGGACTGTGTTTCTTCTTCATGTAACAAGATGAAAAACAGAACACTGACATATTTATTCTCATGTTGTAAATCATACACATATTTATGAGTGTTGATGTCTGTACAAAACTATGTATAATGTGCTACTCCCCCCCCCCACATTAGGTGGGCATGTGGATAAATTAGAATTGCTTATATATTTACAGTATTTATCTTCTGTTACATTTGCCCCCAGGAATTATTGGGAAGAAAAAGCAGAAACAGAGCACTTAACACAGCCATGTTGCCCATTAATATAGGTTTCAACATCATATTTCATGTACTGTCAAAAAAATTAAATGATTTCTAAACTTCGATATTGTGGTGATTTTGAGTAATTTAGCTAATCAAGATGCTTGATACTTGGAATTAATCTAGAATAAAAAGCATTGCTCTCCGGATAACAATGAGGCAGTATGCTAGTAATGGAAACGTGAAGAAGTACCACCCGGTAACGTTTGATTTATTTTAGTATGGAAACTATGAAAAGGACTAACAGTCATCTGAAAGTTCAAGCTGTTAGGATGTTCTCTCTTTTCACTTTTTTTGAAGTTGTGTGCATTTATTTGTTTTAATGACTTAGGCCTAGATCTAAGACTGTCATCCAAAAGTCATTTTCTTCAAACTTTGGGATTTTTTCTCCTCCTTCCTGTAGCCCCCAGCACCAAAAACTGGTCTGGAATCTCTCATAGTCCTGTGCAGAATAGCAAGTTTTTGGGGTACAGAGAGAACTACTAGCTCATCATTTGATGCATGTTTTCTTAACATTAAGTACCACAGAATATAGTCAGCCTCCTGAAATGCTTAGCATTGTAGCCTTATGTTTTATTTTACTATTTGTTTATTTTATTTATATCCTACTTTTCTCCATATATGGGTGCAAAAGCTGGACAGTGAGGAAAACTGACAGGAAAACAAATGGGTTCATTTTTAATGCTGTGCTTTGTGGATACCCTGGACTGGCAGAAAGACAAACAAGTGGGTCCTAGATCAAACCAAACCTGAACAATCTTTGGAGGCAAAAATGCTGAAACTGAAGTGGTCCTACTTTGGCACATCATGAGAAGCCATGATTCTCTTGGAAAAGACAATAATTCTGAGAATGGTGGAAGGCAGCAGGAAAAGAGGAAGACCAAATGCAAGATGGACAGACTTCCTAAAAGAAGCCATAGGTTTGAGATTGGAAGAGCTGAACAGGGTAGCTGATGATAGGACTTTTTCAAGATTGCTCATTCATAAGCCTGCCATAGGCTGGAGGCGAGTTGATGGCACATAACAACAACTACCTTTCTCCAAATACAGAAGCTGAAAACGATTAAAAACTGATAGATCTAAAAATACAATGGCCAAAATTCTGTTTGTGTAGATGGCACAAACTGAATTACATCATCATCTAGCACAAGTATTAGATTTGAATCTCGAATTCAAACTAATTACAAGCTTCATATTTCCCTGCCCACCCACCTTTACAGATTCTGAGGATCCCAAGGGCTCCCTTTTGCCCTGGACAAGCCTTTGGGGACACCAGGATGGGTAGTAGTAGTGGGAGATTTTAGTTGTCAAACTTTGCTGCTGGGTTACCAGCAGCACTGCCGATCATGTTATATTAAAACTACAGTATGAGTAGGCTTCCCACTTCCATATGAAAGTGATACATACTCCTTTCATTCAACAGCTTATAACAGTACAGCCTATCTCCTCTTGTGTGTGTGTGTGTGTGTGTGTGTGTGTGTTCCCAGCTAGTTCTGCTCATGGACGCATAGAGGTTAGGGTAACAGCATACCAGCAGTATGCATCCATTAAAGTACCCTTTTCCTCCCAAAATAAGCCCTAACCTTAAATTCAGCCTTAGTATGATTTTTCAGGATGCTCATAATATAAGCCCTACCCCCAAAATAAGCCCCAGTTAAGTGAAACCCCGCCCTCCACCATTGTGCAGCATTGCGCAGCAACCGGAAGATGACATGACTGTATTTGAATAAATGTTGATTGTTGTACATGAAAAAAATAAAACATCCCCTGAAAATAAGCCCTAATGTGTTTTCTGGAGCAAAAATTAATATAAGACCCTGTCTTATTTTTGGGGAAACACGGTACTTCTAGTCCCACCTCTTTGCTGATGTATTTGTGACAGAACAGGCTGCCTTTTATTTTTAGAGATGTGTGAGCTGTTTGTTATTTGAGCTCAAGTAGCAAATAGTGGATCCTGGTCCAGGTGCCAAATACCTCAAACCAGGCTAGGTATTGGCACACAAGGCAGAAAAATCCTAAAAACATCTGTTTCCATGCCTTGTAGTGGAACTACAATAATCTCCGATAAATTAACTGTTTGCTGTCCTTTTATGACACAAACATATCCTGTCTGAGGCGGCTACATAGCTCTACCTAATGACAGGGCCGGCTCTGCTCATTAACCAAAATGAACATTATGGAAGGGGATAATTTGATCAGGAATCTTGTTTATGCCTTTTTTCCCCTGCAGTGTTCACAACCACTGTCTTCCAGGGCCACCTGTATTCTCACACTGCTAACTTCTTTCTATAGCAATAGCCAATCACGGATTGTGTAATAAGTGGCATGATATCATAGAAAGCAAGTGCAACTGAGTCTGAATAAGGGCAGTGCTAAGAAAGGGCAAGGTTCATACCATGAATCACTTCAGTTGCTAGTTTAAAGTAGGCAGTAGGCAGAGTTATCAACAGTTCAGCCTCGGCCCCAGAAAGAGAGGGATCAATGTGCATATCACCTTCCTGTAACAAGCAAAATAATTGCAAAATGACTTAAAAGCAGAAAGAATTATGCTGCAAAGGTAGATGTTCTTTCTTCTGCTGAAGCACCACTGAAAGGGAGGGTGTTTTTCATATCTTATTACAATGTTTGTGAAACTCTGCCCCTCCCCCATGGTTCAAACCTAATTAATCTGCTAATGTAGTGCTAACTGTACTTTCCAAGATCATTATATGCTAAGTTAGACTAAACAGGCAACATAGTCTGCACTTTACAACACCAAACTGGATTCAATATGTAAGTTTTCTTTCTACCACAATATTTTTAAAAAAGAAAAACATTTGAACTATCCAATATTGAGAAATATATTGCTCAATGCTGCCATCTGTAGGTCAGCCATATTTCTTTAAAATGAGTTTTGAATACCACTTTGTCCAT